GGCGCGGTGGCTCACGCCTGTAATCCTAGCTCTCTGGGAGGCCAAGGCGGGCGGATTGCTCGAGGTCAGGAGTTCGAAACCAGCCTGACAAGAGTCCCGTCTCTTACTAAAATAGAAAAAAACTAATTGGCCAACTATATATATAGAAAAAATTGCCGGGCATGGTGGCCATGCCTGTAGTCCCAGCTACTTGGAGCTGAGACAGAAGGATCGCTTGAGCCCAGGAGTTTGAGGTTGCTGTGAGTAGGCTGACGCCAGGCACTCACTCTAGCCTGGGCAACAAAGCGAGACTCTGTCTCAAAAAAAAAAAAAAAAAAAAAACACCAATTAAGCTACCTATATTTATAAAATTCTTTTATTTCTACATGTCATCTATCAAGTGCATTATTAGTCAGAAAACTTGAGAATGGAATTTATCAAGATGTTCACAATTAAACTTTTTAATATACTAATATTTCTAAGCATAAAGTGATAATATTTATATTCAATAAATTTAAGTTTAATTTTAAAAGCTTATTTTATGTTTAATCATTTTAAATTGATAATTAGAAGAAGAGGCCGGGCGCGGTGGCTCACGCCTGTAATCCTAGCTCTCTGGGAGGCCGAGGGGCGGATTGCTCGAGGTCAGGAGTTCGAAACCAGCCTGAGCAAGAGCGAGACCCCGTCTCTACTATAAATAGAAAGAAATTAATTGGCCAACTAATATATACAAAAAATTAGCTGCGGCCGGGCGTGGTGGCTCACGCCTGTAATCCTAGCACTTTGGGAGGCCGAGGCGGGCGGATTGCTCAAGGTCAGGAGTTCGAAACCAGCCTGAGCGAGACCCCGTCTCTACCAAAAATAGAAATAAATTAATTGACAAACTAAAAATATATATACAAAAAATTAGCCGGGCATGGTGGCGCATGCCTGTAGTCCCAGCTACTCAGGAGGCTGAGGCAGTAGGATCGCTGAGCCCAGGAGATTGAGGTTGCTGTGAGCCAGGCTGACGCCACGGCACTCACTCTAGCCTGGGCAACAAAGCGAGAATCTGTCTCAAAAAAAAAAAAAAAAAAAAAGGAAGAGACAACCGCTTCTCAGCCTTTTGGCTAAGATCAAGTTTTAGAAGAGACAAATAAATGGTTCCAATTTAACTACTGATACACTCAAATGCTTTGATGGACCACAAGGGCATTATGCTAAGTGAACAAGCCAATCTCAGAAAGTCACATACAATACAATAATCTCACAATAACAAAATTACAGAGATGGAGAACAGATTGCCAGGAATTAGAGATGGTGGCAGGAGGAGGGTAGATGTGACTATAAGGGGTAACAGGAGGGAGATCTTTATAGTGATAAAATAGTTCTGTATCCTAATTGTAGTAACTGTTACATGAACAGACACATTTGATGGAAGGGCACAGAACTACACACACACACACACTGCCAGTGCAACTTCTGGGTTTTGATAATGTACCATAGTTACATGAGATGTAACCACTGAGTAAAGAGTACACAGTGACCTCTCTACTTTCCTTACAACTTCCTGTGAGTCTGTTATTATTTCAAAATAAAAAGTTAAAAAAAAAATTGCTTCATGCATATCTAATTTCATGTGCCACTTCAAAGAATCCAAAAATAGAAACTGTAGGAAATTCATCTGAGTGCAGCTTATGCAAGAAAGGGCAGGATAATTCCCATTCTGGACCCATGCTCAAAAACATGCCCTTAGCCTTACATCAAGACAGGCAAATAAATATTCATGTCTCAAAAATCAAATGCTTTTAAGGCATAGTGTTTTATTATTTTATATAGTTCTTAATGCTTGGTTGACTTTTTGGTCCACTGAAAAACTACCAATCACATCAGATAGAAGTACTTTTACTATAAAAATAAAAAGTGATGTGGCTAACTTAGCTCTGTATTTTATTGCCTCTTCAAGAAAGTAGTGAAGGAAAACATGGTGATTCAAGTAACTACACATAACAATCAGAAGAGTGTTAAAACTTAAAAGTGTTATATATGTAAAAGCCAGATATGTGCCTGGTATATAATAGGTCCTCCATTAGAAGCTGCTGGTTGCAGGGTCCCAGACCTGACTCATCTAAAGGTCTATTAATACAATCAACAAGTCAAGGACCAGTGTTCTCTACAATACACATACAGTAAAAGTTTTCACACTCCAAAAACTTTTCCTCTCTAAAGTTACTAAAAATTTCAAGGCCATTTCAACCAAAAATAGCTATAGAAAATATATCTGCTAAATCCTATGGCTAAGAAACAAGCTTCTACCCCACATATTATTCATTAACCAGGTGTCAATTCCATTTCCAATACAAAAGTCCTAAGTAAGGAATGGGGGGCTTCCCACTCCAGGTGGGAGAGCCATCCCCAAGATAAGGTTACAGCCTGTCAGCACAAGGCTTCCATTTGTAATGTATGCCTGCAAAGAGGTCCCAAAGAGTAACTATGTCTAACTCCTTAGGGTAAAACAACAACATACGTTCTTCACATTTAATAAGCAATGCTGGAGAAAGCATATAAAACAAGTCACTAATTACTTTTTTCACACTGTTTAAATAGCACGAATACCCATAACACATTTTTTCTCTATCCTAACTCTAGTCTCTTCACTTTCTCCTAGAAGGAGACTTCTTTGGAAGTCTTTTGGAAGACTTTCTAATAATATTTGAAATGTGTGTATTACACTGAATAAATCAAAAGTTGGCTGGGTGCAGTGGCTCACACATATAATTCCAGCACTTTGGGAGGCCGAGGTGTGAGAATAACTTAAGGTCAGAAGTTCAAGACCAGCCTGGGCAACACAGCAAGACCCCATGTTTACAAAATATTTAAAAATTAGTCGGACGTTGTGGCACACACCTATAGTCCCCACTACTCAGGAGGCGGAGGAGGAAGGATCCCTTGAGCCCAGGAGTTCAAGGCTGTATTGAACTACGATCATGCCACCGCACTCTACCCCAGGAGACAGAGTGAGACTCTGTCTCTAAAAACAAATAAATAAATGAAAATTTAAAAACAAATCAAAATCAAAATAACAAGCACTCTAAGACATAAATGGTGTTTCAATGTATGTATATCTGCCTAACTCATCATAGCAACATTTCAGCATTAAAATGATTTTAGATCAAGACACTAAAATTCATAGCAGTTAATCAATTACGACTCCTGAGGGAAAATCTTCATTATGCAAGGTTCTTTACTTCAACAAGTTTCTCAAAACACATAAACACTAATATAGAAACAATTCTTAGCCAGGTGTGCTGGCTCATGCCTGTTATCCTAGCACTCTGGGAGGCTGAGGTGGGCAAATCACTCTAGGTTGGGAGTCTGAAACCAGCCTAAGCAAGAGCAAGAGCAAGACCCCGTCTCTACTAAAAATAGAAATTAATTGGCCAACTAAAAATATATAGCAAAAATTAGCTAGCCATGGTGGTGCATGCCTGTAGTCTGAGCTACTCAGGAGGCTGAGGAAGAAGGATTGTTTGAGGCCAGGAGTTTGAGGTTGCTATGAGCTAGGCTGACACCACAGCACTCTAGTCCAAGCAACAGAGCGAGACTCTTGTCTCAACAAAAAAAAGAAAAAAGAAAAGAAAAGAAAAACAGACCATAATAGTTAAATAAAAGGAAATATTTAAACCAAGAGAGTAACTATACCAATTCTTAACCCAATTCTTTGTGCTCTGTCTTATCTAACATTATACCATTAATAACAATCCCATCATCTACAACACAGTTCTAAACACTGGCTCCCATATTTACCAGCACTCAACACCTATTTAAAAAGAAAAAAAGCCTGGCCAGGTGGCTCACGCCTATAATACTAGCACTTTGGGAGGCTGAAGCAGGAGGACTGCTTGAGGCCAGGAGTTCAAGACCAGCCTGAGCAAGAGCAAGACGCCCTTCTCTAAAAAATTATCCAGATTGGTGGCTCATGTCTGCAGTCCCAGCTACTAAGGAGGCTGAGCCAGGAGGATCACCCAGGAGTTTGAGGTTGCAGTGAGCTATGATGATGCCACTGCACTCTAGCCTAGGCAACAGAGCGAGATCCTGCCACAAAAAAAAAAAAAAAGGAAAAAAGAAAATAATAGGAAAGGGCAATAACACTTCCCTACAAGTACCTAGGATCAACTACTGCTTACAGACTATACTACCTGATGAACAGTGAAGTGCTATGTAAGATTTTATAAAAGGTAGATTACTTGAGAAATACTTGAAATGGTTAGCCTCAGGGAAGAGGAAAAACACATATATACTACAAAATATTCTAGACACTTCTTTTTGCTGGTGATATGGAGTTCCAAAAGTAGTTTTTCAAACCATTTGCAAACAAAACTAGCCTGGGGGTAAACAATCATCTACAAAAATATCACTAGTATTATTTATTTTACAATTTCCTGACAAGTTTATAATTATCTTGTTAAATCAAAACAACAGAGTCTAAGGCCACCATTCTGTTTCCTCATGTTCCTAATACGAAAGTCCAAGCACTCTAAATAAGACCTGTTACAAATATAAAACAAACAGCTCAACTGAACTCTCAACTCTCCAGAAACACAAACACAAAATCCCATAAAACAAGGGAGTTTCTGCAGGCCATAATAAATCTACATGTCACCTCTTGAATTTTCCCCCACACAGTTAAGTGAACATCTCAAAAACTATCAATAACAAACAACAATCACCAAGATATGGTTGGAAATGATACAGCCTTCTCAAACAATAACAAAAAGGAAAAAATTTTCATAACTAGACCTCAAGTTTCTTGCATTTAAAAATAACTAATTAAAATGCAGCCATATACAATCTACAAAAATAGTCATAAAAATTATTACATCTTAAGTTGGAGGAAATAAACCTGCTTCTCTAATACAGGAAGATCTAATTGACATCTCTTTAAAAGAACCAACTGACAAACCCTAAAAAAAAAAGCCTTAAACCAGAAATTTAAATACGGAGGCAAGAAAACACCACGAAAAAGGCATGTCAAACCCCACCTGTATATCTGTTTTCAACCATTTGGAGTCAAGTCGAGCCTGGGCAACCAAACAGAAAGATTCAGAGGGCATCTTTCCTCCAGCTTCTTCCCAGTTGCCAGGCCTGCAAGTAAAACAGAAATATTGAAGACCTAAAGCATCTTATTTTAAAAAAATTTTACAAAGATCCCTCCCACAAGGTTTAATGTAGGAAAAAAAAAAGAAGAAAAAGAAAAATGAAAAACAGAAAAAGGAGAGAAGAGTTGGGGGAGGGGACTGAGAGGACGAGAGAGGGAGAGGTAAAGATGGAGAGAGGGAGGAAGGAAAAGCCTACTTTCAACATAGATAGGGTTCGCCCAGTTTGTGTACCACGTTGAAAAGACCTTGAGAATAGACGGTCATTGGAGACCAAATCACAATGTCATCCCCTTTCCTTTAAATCCAAAAGGTATACACACAAACAGAAGACAGGAAGGAAGCCCATCATTTCAACGACAAATGACACCAGCATGCACCTGCCGCTTTACCCTAGACCAGTGCGTGGTGCGTGAAACAAATTAATCAAAAGTCACGTCAGCAGAAAAACCCACAACAATAATCACTTAGAAATGGAAAGACAGCCGGAGATCGCGCCGCGGGCGGTCCGCGCAGGCCCAGGTCCGGCCGCCGCGCCAACACCCGCCGCCCGGGCTCGGCCGCCCCCCGGCCCGAGTCTCACACCGCCCCCGCCACCGGCCGCCCTTGCGCCCCGGGACGAGGACCTGAGGCGCAGCAGCCCAGCCGCCTCGCCCTGCCGGCTTGCGGACACAGCTTCCCGGCCACCGCTGGCTCAGCCGGCGCTCGCGATCCCGGCGCCTCTCGCGACCTGTGGGGAGGGCCGACGCGGGCCTGCCGCCCCCTGGAGCCCAGCCAATCACAGCGAGGCAGCTCCGCGGTCACAGCCAATGGGGAAGAGGAGCCCCTTAGTCGCCCCTCTTGACTCTCCAGCTTCCTACAATCCCGCTCTTCTTCCTTGGAGCTCAGGCAGAGCCAACCGCAGGCGCCGGAAGGAGGGACATCCGCCGCACGCACGCAGGTTCGCGCGCACCCAGTCCGAGACTTCGCCTGGTCTCTCAGAGCTCCTGGTAACGCCAGCGGAAGCGGGAGGATGTAGGGCTGCGCGGGTCAGGTGGCGAGTCTGATACTCCTCCCCAGGCTGAGGACACGCCTCAGGGAGTCAGCCCCGGCCTGCAAGAGCTTACGCCTGTCTGTCCCACTGAATGCAACAAAAATCTTGGGCAGAATACATGGAGCAGTTATATGAGGACAAGGAAGTCAGCCCTCGTCTAAACCAGCGATCATACAACAGAATTTAAGAATGTGAAACAGTTGAAATCATACGAAGTATGTTCTATGATAATAAGGTAATTAAACTGCAAATCAGTAAATCGCAGGACAATCTCCAAACACTTGTAAACTAAACACTGCACGTCTAAATAATCTAAAGGTCAAAGAAGAAATGTCAAAGGAAATAGAAAATAATTGAATAAAAATTAAAATACAACATATCAAAATTTTTGAGATGCAACTAAGTGATTAAAGTCAAATTTTGTCAAGTATGGAGTAAAGTAATTAAATCCCATCTTGAGATCTAACACACTGTGAAGATATGGCTTGAAGTTATAAGTGCACATACTCAAGTCAGCACCCAGAGATTTAAAAGTCAACAAGCAGAGGGACCAAGGCCTAATTGTGGTAGGAGTTGTTACCCATACTCAGAACCTAGAAATCTGGAATGTTAAAAGTAGAATGAACAAGGTCTTGTTGCCCTGGGAGTGGTTCTGTTTATTCACATCCTCTGAGAGAGCAGTGAGGAAAAGGCTACGGTTATTAGAAGTAGTTGCCCATTCTCACAATATAGGTATATTTGTTTTCTACCAACCAGAGGATTTAATATCTGGTATTCTGGGTGTAGCTGCCCATCCTCAGAATCTGGACATTCTGGATCCAATACAAAGAGGACATGAAGCTTTCTTGCTTAAGAAATACTTGCCCAGAATTGGATCCTAGAAACCAAAGATTCACAAACAGAACAAAAGAGGTGCCCTGGATGTTATTGTCCATGCTTAGAACCTAGGGAACTTGGGTCCAAGAAGCAAATGACAAAAGGCCATGATGATCATATAGGAGTTGTTCTTCCTCAGAACCTGGAAACATTGGGTCCAATGTAAAGGGGAGACGAGGCCTTGTTGTCCAGGGAAGAATTGCTCATACTTGGATCTTGTACAGCAAATCTTTTAACAAGCAAAGGAGACAAGATTTAGTATTCTGGTAATAGTAGCTGATACTCCAAACCTACAATTTGGGATTCAACACATAAAGGACACAAGGTGTTTTACCCTGGAAGTAATTACCATTACTCAAAACCTAGAGAATTGAAATAGCAAAAGAAGAGGACAAATGGCTTTCTTGCCCAAAGAGTAGTTACCTATACTCAGAACCTAGAGACTTTGATTCTGACAAGTACAGGAATCAAGGCCTCCTTGCTCTATAATAATTACCCTTATTTGTAACCGGGAGAGTTGGGGTACAAAAATAGAAGATGCAAGGTCATAATGCCAGGTGAGTAGTTGCTTTTATATTTTTTATTATTTTTATTTTTTGAGAAAGAGTCTCGCTTTGTTGCCCAGGCGCTAGAGTGAGTGCCATGGCGTCAGCCTAGCTCACAGCAACCTCAAACTCCTGGGCTCAAGCAATCCTCCTGCCTCAGCCTCCTGAGTAGCTGGGACTACAGGCATGCGCCACCATGCCAAGCTAATTTTTTCTATATATATTAGTTGGCCAATTAATTTCTTTCTATTTCTAGTAAAGACAGGGTCTCGCTCTTGCTCAGGCTGGTTTCAAACTCCTGACCTCCAGCGATCTGCCCGCCTCGGCCTCCCAGAGTGCTAGGATTATAGGCGTGAGCCACCGCACCTGGCCTTATTTTTTTTTTTAAAGACAAGGTCTCGCTCTTATTGCCCTGGCTAGAGTGCCCTGATATGATTATAACTCACTGCACCTCCAACTCTGAGACTCAAGCAATCCTCCCACCTTGGCATCCCAGAGTGCTAGTATTACAGGTGTGAGCCATTGCGCCCAGTATGGGAGTAGTTGCTTTTACTTGCAACCTAGACACCTGGATCCAACAAGCTAAGGAGAAAAGGCTTGGGACCTATACTAGATTGAGAAGTGTAATCTTAATCTTTTTTACATGTACATATGAAGCCAAAATCCTTGTAGAGATTTAAGAACTTGTAGATCAGAAAAATTCTACCTGCTAAAGAAAAATAACAAAAAAAAACTATTTTAGCACTGAATGAAAACAAAGTTTAAAACCTCATCTCAGAATGTTTAAACATAGCACTACATATTTTTGAGGTTTGAAAATGACTCTACCATTCCCATGGCCCAGAAAACTAAAAGCCCAGCACTTATTCCATATTGGCAGCATTCTGGGGAGCCTGGTAGAGTCAAACCCCAATTCTCTCTGAAGGAAAATACACTTTCAATCCCTTACCCTCTGTATTCCTACAGGTCAAATCAGCCAAACGTGAACTATAAATTTTGTATGAATTGTAAAACATACAAGGAAAATAACTACCATGCGTGATTGTCAATAGATAAACTAAGTGCTGACTCTGACCACCAAGGACTTCGGATATTAAGTTGACCTGATAAAAATATAAAGGAATATATATTTGGATAAATACAAGATAGAATTTAAAATCCTGAGAAAACAAGAGAGTAAAAAGAAAAGACAGAAATAAAGAAACCCCAATCAAATATAAAAAAAGAACAGTAAAACTTCTCACAATAAAAAATCAAATCATCACACCCAACACTGGGTGGCTAGGGCTGGATGAGTCTTGTTCCTGCACTCCTCAGCTCCTCACCAGGGTGGCTTAAAAAAAAAAAAGAAAGAAACAAAATCATCAAAATATGAAGCTCAAATAATGGTTTAAACCAGGGATCAGCAACCTATATCCTATGGGATGGTTGCCTTTTTCCTCAAAAAAAGTGTAGCTATTGGAACATAGCTATACTCATTTATTTTTGTATTTTTTTGGGCTTCTTGAACTGCAACTGGAGTTGAGTAGTTGCAATCTTGTCTGTATGTCTGACAGCTTAAAATAATTATTATCTGGCTCTTTTTAAAAAGTTTGCTGCCAGAATGCATTCTGGGGAGGCAGCAGCACCAGATCCAAGATGGCGGCCAGCAGGAGGCTGATGAAGGAGCTTGAAGAAATCCGCAAATGTAGAATGAAAAACTTCTGTAACATCCAGGTTGATGAAGCTAACTTATTGACTTGGCAAGGGCTTATTGTTCCTGACAACCCTCCATATGATAAGGAGGCCTTCAGAATTGAAATCAATTTTCCAGCAGAGTACCCATTCAAACCACCGAAGATCACGTTTAAAACAAAGATCTATCACCCGAACATTGATGAAAAGGGGCAGGTCTGTCTGCCAGTAATTAGTGCTGAAAACTGGAAGCCAGCAACCAAAACCGACCAAGTAATCTAGTCCCTCATAGCACTGGTGAACGACCCCCAGCCCAAGCACCCACTCCAGGCTGACCTAGCTGAAGAATACTCTAAGGACCGTAAAAAATTCTGTAAGAATGCTGAAGAGTTTACAAAGAAATATGGGGAAAAGCGACCTGTGGACTAAAATCTGCCGCGATTGATTCCAGCAAGTGTGAGCAGAGACCCCGAGCAGTGCATTCAGACATCCCACAAAGCAGGACTCTGTGGAAAATTGACACGTGCCACTGCCTGGCGTTCGCTTGTGGCAGTTACTAACTTTCTACAGTTTTCTTAATCAAAAGTGGTTTAGGTAACCTGTAAAGAAAGGATTAAAAATTTAAGATGTTCTAGTTCTGCTTTCTTTGTTTTAAAAATCACTGCTTCAATCTACTTCAAAAGATTGGTGTTCTTTTCTTGTCCAAATTTATCCAAAATTTTCAAGTCACATTTAGCCCATAAGGTTAAAAAAAAAAAAGGTTGTGGTTCCCCTTCTTTTTCTCTTCCCTTGCAACTCCCATGTTCTTGCATTCAGTTTATTCCTCATTTATTCACTTCCCCAGACCCAGGCCCATCTCCTCTGCACAGGAGAAGAGACAGCTCGGAGTTTCTGGTGGCTTTTCTTCTCCATTGTTGGACTTCCCATAATGGGAGTTGGTTTAAATTCTCCTGACTCATCTATAACATCCTTTAAAATTTTTAAAAACAAACTAACAACTACACCCCTCCTGACCACCCCCACCAAAAAAAAGCCATTTAAAGGCAGGCTTAGCTCTGTGGAAAAGTCAGGCTTGTATTAACCATGGAACATCGATTAAATGGCAAACCCCGACATCAGTGTGCGTGACTGAACTGCGACTCAGCCAGCCTGCACAGGGAAACCCTTCAATAACAAGTCTGTGGTGACCCCGAAGGGAGGGCCTGCCAGCCAGAGGACGCTGTGCATGCTGTGTGTGATGAAATCTCGCACCAGAAAGGCTCCTGAGGCCAAAGGTTGGCACCCCTCCCTGCAGCCATTTTAGAAGATCTGCTGGTCCCTGCACGCCATGCTAAAGCCAGAACATCCATTTGAAATTCCAAGCTCATCTGTCACCAAGCTCCATCTGAATGTGCCATGGAGCTCGTGCTCCACCTCCTCAGTGCAGCAGCCCCACCACAGCCCTCCCGAGGTACATTTGATCCTTTGCGCAATGGCGGGACTGGCTATTGAACTGGCACCAGTCTGGGGTCACTGGGACCCCCACTGGCCCCTTTGGAGCAGCCGGTGGCCCAGCCAGGAACAAGATGGCCTTCCCTCTCCCTTGGGACTCACAGCCTTTGCAGAGTCAAGCTCCACTTGAAGCGCACTCAGTAATATCCTTTAAATGTGTTTATATTGTTTTGACTGCCTTTTTTTGTAGAAATAAAAATTGACCTTAGAATTAAAAAAAAAAAAAAAAGTTTGCTGCCAGGAATGGTGGCATGGGAAATCTAGAAGGCCACTTGCATGTGTAGGGTTCTGTGCATGCTCTGGAAATACCTGAGCAGGACCTAAGATCTCACCTCTGATTGACCAGGAGACCATCAAAACAGGAAGAGAAGGCTAGGGCAGAACTTTAAACTGCCTGAGTGTTGAAGGCATGTCCCAACAGACACACACACACACAAACATATTGGAAGAATTTTGGGCTCCAGAAATTTAAGGAAATCTCTGTCCAATCATTAACTAAATATTAAGTTAACAGAACAGAGACTTCAGTGACTACACATGACAAAGAATATAGACTTTACAGAATTAGTTTAGAAAGATCATTGAACAAACAATAATAACTATAACAAGGAGCAACAACAACAAAACCTAGGGACGGGAGAGAAATCAACTTAAAGAGTTGCCTCTTATTTAGAATTTTCAGTTTTCAATGAAAAATTATGAAACATGTAAAGGATAAAGAAAATATGGCCCATACATAGTAGGAAAAAAATCAGTCAACAGAAGCAGTCCCTGAGAAAGCCCAGATATTGGACTTATTAATACTAGACAAATATTTTTTTGAGATAAAGTCTCACTCTGTTGCCTGCTTAGAGTGCAGTGGCATCATCATAGCTCACTATAACCTTGAACTCCTGGGCCCAAGTGATCCTCCTGCTCCAGCCTCCTTAGTAGCTGGGCTATAGGTACATGCCACCATACCTGACTGAATTTTTGGCAGAGACAATGTCTCACCAGTTCAGGCTGGTCTTAAATTGGCCTCAAGCACTCCTCCTGGCTCGCCCTCCCCAAATGCTAGGATTACAGGGTATGAACCACTGCACCCCGCCCAAGACAAAGATTTTAAATCAACTAGTTTAATATTATTCAAAGAACTAAAGGAGACCATGTCTAAGGAACTAAAGGAAACTTTGAGAATGATGCCTCACCCAACAGAATATCAATAAAGAGATAGAAACCATAAAAATAAACCAAGTAGAAATTCTGGTGTTGAAAACTACAATAATTAAAATGAAAAATTCACTTGAGGAGCTGAATAGCATAGTTGAGCATGGAAAAGAAAAAAAACAGTGACTTGAAGATAGGTCAATTAAAATTAACTCATCTTCTGCCTTACTCTTGCCTATGAGAAAAAAAAAAAATTAACTCATCTGAGGAACAAAATGAAAAAAGAATAAAGAATGAACAATGGGCCGGGTGAGGTGGCTCATGCCTATAAATCTAGCACTCTGGGAGGCCAAAGCGGGTGGATTGCTCAAGGTCAGGAGTTCGAAACCAGCCTGAGCAAGAGCGAGACCCTGTCTCGCCAGCCTGCCCCAGGGAAACCCTTCAATAACAAGTCTGTGGTGACCCCGAAGGGAGGGCCTGCCAGCCAGAGGACGCTGTGCATGCTGTGTGTGATGAAATCTCGCACCAGAAAGGCTCCTGAGGCCAAAGGTTGGCACCCCTCCCTGCAGCCATTTTAGAAGATCTGCTGGTCCCTGCGCCATGCTAAAGCAGAACATCCATTTGAAATTCCAAGCTCATCTGTCACCAGAGTCCATCTGAATGTGCCATGGAGCTCGTGCTCCACCTCCTCAGTGCAGCAGCCCCACCACAGCCCTCCGAGGTACAGTTTGATCCTTTGCGGCAATGGCGGGACTCGGCTATTGAACTGGCACCAGTCTGGGGTCACTGGGACCCCCACTGGCCCCTTTGGAGCAGCCGGTGGCCCAGCCAGGAACAAGATGGCCTTCCCTCTCCCTTGGGACTCACAGCCTTTGCAGAGTCAAGCTCCACTTGAAGCGCACTCAGTAATATCCTTTAAATGTGTTTTATATTGTTTTGACTGCCTTTTTTTGTAGAAATAAAAATTGACCTTAGAATTAAAAAAAAAAAAAAAGTTTGCTGCCAGGAATGGTGGCATGGGAAATCTAGAAGGCCACTTGCATGTGTAGGGTTCTGTGCATGCTCTGGAAATACCTGAGCAGGACCTAAGATCTCACCTCTTGATTGGACGAGGGAGAGCCATCGCAAAACATCTTGCATTCAGTTTATTCCTCATTTATTCACTTCCCCAGACCCAGGCCCATCTCCTCTGCACAGGAGAAGAGACAGCTCGGAGTTTCTGGTGGCTTTTCTTCTCCATTGTTGGACTTCCCATAATGGGAGTTGGTTTAAATTCTCCTGACTCATCTATAACATCCTTTAAAAATTTTTAAAAACAAACTAACAACTACACCCCTCCTGACCACCCCCACCAAAAAAAAAAGCCATTTAAAGGCAGGCTTAGCTCTTGTGGAAAAGTCAGGCTTGTATTAACCATGGTAACATCGATTAAATGGGCAAACCCCGACATCAGTGTGCGTGACTGAACTGCGACTCAGCCAGCCTGCACAGGGAAACCCTTCAATAACAAGTCTGTGGTGACCCC